CCATGAGTCGCGAAGTTTTTGGTATTTCAAAAACGCGACCATTGATCGCGGAAGCCCCGCCGCGGTGGTCTAGTGGCTAAGGTACTCGGCTGCTGACCCGCAGGTCGCCGGTTCAAATCCCGGCTGCGGCGGCTGCATTTCCGATGGAGGCAGAAATGTTGTAGGCCCGTGTACGCAGATTTGGGTGCACGTTAAAGAACCCCAGGTGGTCGAAATTTCCGGAGCCCTCCACTACGGTGTCTCTCATAATCATATGGTGGTTTTGGGACGTTAAACCCCACAAATCTAATCTAATCATTGATCGCGGAACCTCGAAGATGGCTATGTCGTACACTAGTGATGCAAAAAATAAATAATGAATCTCGGTCAAAAGTGACGTGAAACTCGAGCAAATGTGTGCTTGTACAGTCGTTGTATCAAATATCACGGGGACTAAATGTAGCATGACGCTACAGTTCACGTCACTGGCTGCCAGAATTACGTTAGAGTTCACCAAAATTTATCAACGCGCCGTACATTGCGACGTCATTACGACATCGCAGCATGCCCTCACATGATGACGTCATCATTCGACATCATCCCTTCGTCAGTGGGCAAATCATGGTGGCTATGGAAAGCTATGTAAAGTGAAGAAAGTTTCCAATGTCCCAAATGGCGCATGACAGTTACTTACTTAGAGACGTTTTAGGAGCACCCAGTATCAGTTCCAGTTTCTTGAGAATTGAGCTAAGCAGGAGCAGTTTCGGGGGCCATGGTAAACAGAGCTGTCGCCGATACCATGCTAAACTATGATGATTCAGGCAGATCTCCAGTCGTGCTAATTGCGTTAGGCGTGTCCAGCAGCCACTACAGTGAAAAACGTTCGATGTCTTCAAACACTGTCATAAGAGATCCCATCTGGTCCTGGCACCTTGCGTACTTTTTCGTGGTTCATTGCTGCAGGGAGCTCCACCATTGCGTACGTTGATTGCATGCCTTAGACATCGCTCGGACGAAGTGAGAATTACGCCAACCTCAGGATGCAGGTTATACGGACAGTCGGACTGAGGTAGGGCATAGTACTAGTTAAAGCAGGCGTGGGGATACACACACACACATACACATACACGCACACACACACACACACTTTTCCAAATACGGGAAAGTAGACTAATGGTGGTATTTCACTTGTAGCGAGAGGCAGAGCGGCATGAAGGATTTGGCCACTTTATTCTAGAGGGCCAAAGCAAAGCGGCGGCGGCTGCCTGCGCCCAAACCACCACGCGCAGAACTCTGTCTGGGAGGTCGTGCCTCGAGTTCCCAACACGTAGGGAGACTGCAAGACCGCCTTGTTTAGGGTGGAGACATCTCAATAAGTGCCCTGAAAAAAACAGCCAAAATCAGCGGGCAATTGGGCAACCTGTTGCCAGCTCCCACTCAATTTTGCATAATTTGTTTGTGTGCCGCCGTTTCGGGGCAGCCGTTCGGTTCTCCACCCCCCGCTAGTCGTGATCTGCAAGGTTAGCAGTGACTTCCAGTGCACTTTGAAAGACCCTTTTTTTACGCTATAGCCTTATTCAGGCAAAAACCTTCGATACACTAGGTGTAAGATGTTGGTGGCATCCGGTGCCCGCGTCAACACGAGGCATTAGATGCACCAAGCGCGAAACGCAGTCGTCGGTGGCGTCGTCGAACGTCGGCGTCAACACGCTACATGCAATAAAGAGCCAGTAAACAACCCCAAGGTCCGAAAATTCTTGTAAAAAGAAATATTTGAACTTTTGCTTCGTGAACATGCTGCCGCAAGAATTTTGCGAATACGTGTTATTCCCTGTTCAAACTGTTTTGCTGTGGAGAGGTTGAGGTTCATGTTGCCTCGGCTACTGCATATCACGAAGTTCTGCAATGAAAAAAAAAGAATAATACTGAACGGTACCCAAAAATGAACATTCCGAAAAAACATAATAGTACACTAAAACCAGTTCAAATATCATGCCAATACACAGTTTTGTTTTTTACTGCAGTTCACACAGTCATAAACTGTTTACACGCAGACCTTCCTTTTCTACTGTCAGTTCATGCAGAAACACATTTTATATATATCCATCCCTGGTTGTCTATCACAGGCCCTAGTCCAGTCTGGTGTCCACTAAAAACTTTCTTACAGCGCAACACCAGAAAAAATACAGGACAGGGAAGGAGTAGAACAGAAAGAAAAGACGGCGCTGTTCCACTCCTTCCCTGTCCTGTATTTTTTCTGGTGTTGCGCTGTAAGAAACTTCACGATGGATCCTAACCAACTGGCCCGACTTACCGTCCACTAAAAAGTCTCTCAGGAAGATTTTCGCCTTTTAAATGAAGCATTTCTTAGTGAACTTCGACGACTAGGAGGTCCCGATTCAGTCTTTGACTATGGGACCTCCTTCTGTATACTAATAATTTGTAATGCTCCTGATGTCATAATAAAATCATTTCTGACTCTGACTCTGACTCTGACTTTGAGCGTATCTATCTATCTATCTATCTACCTATCTAATCTATCACAGTAAGATGGAAAGGTGGGCAAGTTGGTAATTCATGATGGTTCAGCGAGTAGGGATATTAAACATATGTATAAATGTATTGTACACTGGCATACAAACGATGTTCGGTGGATGAGCCAAATATCCTGTCACGCACGTGCGTGTGTGTTTAGATGTTAGCAAAACGTGTGAAAGTTCAATGGGAATGTCATTCTTTGGCTTGAATATATGTGAGTACATGTACGAAGAGTCACACTGTAAAATTTTCCAACATGATGTCCTATCAGACCTTGGAACTGTATTTGGCATTTACCATTACAATGAATCTCTCGGTAGGGAAAATTATCGTAGTGATCAACACCGGTCAGATCTATTCCAGGTGGTACACGTATGACCACCGCTGCAGCATTCCCGTCGCCGAGCCTACTTACAACGCCCGCGGCCGAGATTTCTGCTCAAAATATCACAGAGTACCAAAGCCTTGACAAACACCGCGACACGTTTTCCCGTGTGCAGACATTACACACTGTAAAAGCGCCCAGGAATTATATTGTGAGAGTAGCACCGCTTAGTTTCTCAATCATGTCTGCGCGATGTCACGAAAAAAGAAGGTGGGTAAGTGTGAGGGGGTGAGGAAGAGGGTTTCAACCCCCCCCCCCCCCCAATGGCTGCACCACTGATATCGTCCACACAGGATTCTCTCTAAGCACTGACATCTCCTGATATGACCACTGTTTCTTCTCCAACTTCGAATCCCAGGTTTTGGCACACGTTTACGGAGACCAGATGCTCAGAATTGCTGCAAAGCCTTTCTCTACGGTACTTTTCATATAGCATGATAATCTGAAGACCGTAGACGCATACTGCGCATACTGTGGCTACGGTGGTCGGCTTCTGACCCGAAAGTAGCGGTTTCGATCTCGGCGGAGGCAGTCACATTTCGATGGAGGCGTAATTCTTGAGGCCCGTGTACATGCGCGATGGCGGTGAACACTGCATGGTTTGTCAAAAAAAAAAAACGAAGCTTGCACTGATTCGCGCAAGGCTTGAAACAGCGAAAGCGGATGATTTTGAAGACTAATATGGTTCCTTCTGCGTTGTATCTGGGCCTCAGCTAGGTGATGCAGGCTGTTTTTACGTTGATCATCAGCGCATAGAGATTCGAGTTAAACCACATACAGTCACAAGGCACGACACAGGCGTCCAAACTCCAGAGACAAAAAACTTAACGCTGAAACCAAGCGTTCGCGCCTCTCGTAGACCTACGGGCACGTCGTCGTTAGTGCCTTCCATCACTTCGGGATCTTCTCGTGGCCGCCGTTGCCTTTTCCGTTTCCTAGTATATTCTGTCGATGTACGTACTCGAGGTCTTTGGCTCACCGCCGTCGGTTCGCAGCCAGTTGTTGCACTATCTGTAGCCGTCTTCACTGTTAATGAACCGGTGGGGAATACTGGCATTTACGCAATTTCTGTGGCACGTACTCGTTTATGGTGGTGACAGTTTTCTGGATAGACGCACAAGGAACGATTTTCTATATACAGCTTCGCTGTCTAAATTTCCGGAGCCCTCCGGGTCATGCCTCGGGCCTCAAAATCATACAGTGGTTTCGAAGATTTAAGAACAGCATAAAGAAAATTCCCATGTTTGACTTTTTAGCACTAACGTTTACAACAAAGGGTGACGGTTCGAATTAACAAAATTTGATTACAGTGCGGTTGTCAGACTTCTGTAACCACGATGAAAAATTCCGGGGGGTCAGAAATTGCATAAATGTTTAGGTTCGATAACAGGTTAAAATACTGCTACCTTCTGCACCACCGATAAACGGTGCTCGATGTTTTCGCGTCCTCTTTATCTATGCAGTGCTCGCTATCGGTCATGATTCGCTCGAGTGATTCGGTCGCTGACACGGCTACGGCAGCCATCGCCAACTCGGATATGCTCAAGAACCGTTCGCAGCGACAATGATAAGCTACATGGCAGTCTTTTTTTTTTTACGGACGAAGCTCCTTAAGTCTTGAGTCAGTACAGGCATGTCTCTCTTGGTACGTGACCGCCTAGTTCTATGACTCACTCAGCAAGCAGGTGTGGACGGACAAACAGACAGACGAACAAACAGACAGGCGAATGGACAGACAGACAGACAGAATATTCATGGTTTACTAATAAAACCTTCCGAAGCTTCGCTACACTCGTCATCATTCCCTCCATGGATGTACTCAATTTTTTTTTTATTGTTCTAAGAAACGTGGCTGGAAACGCGTCTCAAACGTCGCAGCTGCAACACAGCCGGGGCATACGTCACCAGAAAACCTAACGATGGCGAAAACGGGCCGAGCTCACTTTGCAAATGGAAGCGATAAATGGCAGAGGTTGCACGCAGATTCCTTTTCTACTTCCGCTGCAAGGGAAAATTAAAGGGGGGCGGGACTGGGCAAAAGATTCGAATGACGCAAGCTCGGCGCCAGCAACCTGGAACGAGCGCGAACTACTGAGTGTACCAGAACTTTTTCATTGGTGGAAAACATTAGCCTGAAAACCCACAAGTGGTGCCATCTGCGCAAGCCACATTTCGACACCTAAGGCAGCGTCCGGAGCCCGCGGCCGCTGTAGCAAAGTGTCAGGTGGTCATCGAAAAGGCGCGCACCGGAACGGGGAAGCGTGTCGTCATGGAGCGAAACGACGCCGTCAGCAAACTTCCAGCTGACGAGGACGCGACGTCCTTCGAGTGGCTTGACCGGCTCCGGCAAGAGAAGCGACCGCGGCGAAGCATGCGGCACTGCTACGCCGCCGTCGCCGCCGCGAACAAGCATCCCGCCGACGAAGCAGCCGGGTCTCCCGCTGCGCCCTGCGCTAACATGCCAGATGGCTTGGGAGCATACCACGGGGATTCAGCGGAGGAACAAACCCAGCAGGAGAAGCAGAGGATGCGCGCCGGCAGCGGCCGTCGCCCTGACATGCTGCTGAGCGGCATCTTCAGCCCATCGCCGCAGATTGTCAGCCTGCCGTGCGGACAGCTCGGCGAGCCAGAGCTACTGGTCACCTGTCCGCAGTCGCGGAGCGTGCCGTTCACGCTCGTGTTGTCATCGGCCTACGCGCTTGCCCTGCACGTGTGCTTCGCGGCTAGTTCGTGGTGGCTGGTGCAGAAGTACGCGGCATCCGGCGCTAGCACGGAAGCTATCGTCACGCTCATCCTCGCTCAGCTGTCCAGCCTGCCCCTATTCGTGGTGGGCGTATGCCGGTTAGTAAGCCGCCAACAGCAGCCTTCTTCGGGATGTGTGATCTTGCTCGTCCTTCACGTGCTCGTCGCTGGGCTGTTCAACATGGTACCTCTTCTGCAGTGAGTGTTCTTACTTGGCTTTTGAGGCCTTCTTTGAGTGATTGTCGTTACAGCTGTCCATACAGCTACCTGTGGTGGCATAGTGATCCTATAAACACTGAAGCAGTGAGATCTTCCGTTTCCACGTAAAAAAAAACTAGACTGTAAGCTTTCCCTTTTCGCAACGATGCATATTATTCTATAATTATCTCAATCAAAGGTAAGGAAACGCTAATTGCAGTCCTGCCACAATGTGCCAATATGAAACTCAGGCTCAACACCTTTAAGCCTAACGGGGCTCATGTTCGTCTGCAGACAGATGGTGGGCTCTTAAAACGGACACTAAAGAGCAAAGCGATTTTTCCCGTATTAGTAAAGTACACTTTCACAATCCCAAAAACACTAGTGTTACCGCGACACGATTATTGGTAGGGGATAAAACGCGCGAAAAGAAAATGCAAGTGGATACGCCGCCTTGAAATTCCCGCACCAAGCACCGTGACGTCATGGATATTGAAAGCGTCTACTAAAACCTTGCTTCTAATCAATAAAAAATGAAGTACAGGTGCTCCAAATGTAAAATGGAGCACACGAGCTGTGGCCAAGCTGCTCAAAACTGAATGACAGAGTGCTTCTTCAGAGAAGTGGTTGTTTTTGTACGGGAATAGTGGCACTATATTTAGGCATTTTTGTATAAAAATAAAGAACCTCTTCTCTGAGGGAGCACGCTGGCACTCACTTTCGCCAAGCTTATTTTACTTTTAGCACACCGGGCACTGTCATCTGAGGATACCTTAGACCTATCAAAAGCTTTCAAGAAATTTCCGTGGGCGAATGTCACAAAAATACATTTTAAATTTTCTGACGTCACGCGCGGAGATCTGTGCTCGAAATGTAAAAATTAAACTTGAACCTTGATTTTTTTTTACTAATAATGAACTTATTATGATAGCGGAACATAAAAATGGCGGTAGACTTCTCAGGGTGTAGTTTGTCAATCTAAACCAATTCATTGTTTTTCTTTAGTGTCTCTTTAACGTAACTTTAAGCAATCGACTGGAAGAGCAGGTGGTCGCCAAATTTGAATGTATAGTAACGCGCCCTGAACGCCTATCCCAAGGTTATCAAGCTGATCATCATCACGAATGGTGAGCGTTTGAATTCCGGCCAATGAGGCGGAATCTACACTTAACTCTTGGCCACAATGTTTCGTGAATACGATTCCAGGTTCGCAGCACTTCAGAAGTTTGCACGAATGGTAGGCAGTGCTGCACATTGTTTCTCTCTTAAAGTTCGACGTCTGCAAACTTTCGGTGTCTGTAAGTCTTACTTTGAAACGTATTATGATGCGCGTTGTTTCTGTTCAGCGTGATGTAAAGTGCTAAGTGTGAGAACTTTCGTTCGATTAGATTTAAGTACCCGTTAAAGCTCCCCGGGAGGACTTATAATTTCTCGGAATGCATGGCCTATGATGGCATGCCTCCAAAATGATCCTCGTTTTGGGTGCGTGAAACGCCAAAATTAATACTGGATTATAATTAACATCTCATGGCGGGTCATGAAGACGTTCCACGCAGCCAAAGCGTTCGACATGTCAACAAACTGCGATTAATGCTGCTTCAGAGTTTTCACATTTTGTTTGACAATGACGTGCATTTCCGTTGGGCTGTGCCGCCCACTGTGGTGTAGAGCGTGACGTCTTTAGGTGGTTGCAGTGTTTCATTTGTCGTGCATGGACGGGTGATCTTCATAACAAACGTGTAGGCCAGCTGTGTGCAATGTGCTGCAAGCTGGTGGCGATGTTGGTAATCTTTTCTTCCTATATAGGCATGCGTGTGATCTCACCCGAAGGTGCTGTCTCACAGCACCTCTGCTCAGAAGAAAAACGCACGTGCAGTGATAATGCGCGCAGTTTATCATGTCACTCTATAGACATACAATATAGGATCTCATTCCAGCGATTTCTGATGATGTTGATAGCCATTGAAGGGGAGGAGGGTCACATAACGATTGTAGTGGCCAGAATAAGTGCACGCGTTCGAAACAAACACGCTGAATTCCTAGCCTTAGCTCGGCTGTTCGAATGACAATAGAAGACAAGCACTATTTTAAGCACTCAATAGGCGCATACCATTTGTTGTGAGCGTGTGGGGGCGTGCGTTATGAAGCGCTCCACTGCGACGTCTCTCATAGTCACATCGTGGTTTTGGGACGTTAAACCCCCCATACCAAATCATTATCAGCGCGCGTTCTGAGCTCATACACTCCAATCTATGACATTGCGGCAACGGGAGTCTTTAAGTACCGAATAAGCTCTCTACTGCGTGTTAGATAAAACAAAGGCTCTTATCAAAGTCGTCACATATGAAAAGCAGCCTTGCGAGTCAACTCTGCCGTGCCTGGTCCTCCCGAGTGTCGGACCCAGTATATCCAGATCACGTGGAGTCGAAAGCTGCTGTAATCTATTTCTAAAAAGGGCCCCTGAACCAAACCGAGTTCAAAGGCGAGAAAATATAAAGCTTCTTTTTTCACCTTCACTACCCTTCCTGCAACTTCTATCTCCTCCTCGCCACCTATTTCTCAAAAGACAAGGATCGTCAGCGCAATGCGTAGTGCCAGTCAAGATTTGGCGCTCCTCGACTACACATGCTACTATCTCCGCTTGCGCAAACGTAGAAAACCTTGAAATGACTTTATCGCCCACGATAATTATGTGAGGCGAGGCAGAACGGGCATGCGGCTGCATGGCAAAGGCAGTGCCGGAGACAATCCGCAACATGCATGTACCAATCCAGAGCGTATTTGATCCTGACGTCACGTGAACAAACTGCTGGCGTCGTGAACTGCACCACAAAGATGAGACACACTGGGAAAAAGTAACGCACTCGTTCTTCGTATCTTCAAAGGTTGTTGGAACCCTTTAAAATGAAAAAAAATTGTAGTCAGATGTCTCGCTTCTCGACATTTCCTTGCTTAGCTGTCCGTCACGGTAGATCAGTGGTTATGGTGTTCAGTTGTTCGCCCGAAGGTCACAGGTTCAATACCGGCCGTGGCGGTTCCATTTTGGTAGAGACGAAATGGTTGAAAGCTCATGTGCTGTGCGAAACGGTCGAAATTTTCGGAGCTCTCCACTACGGCGTTCCTCCAATCATATCGTTAATTTGGTACGTAAAGTCCCAGATAATATTATTATCCCTAGTTAGTTTATTGTAAATGATTAGTGCCTCTTGGTGCACCGCCTTTGCAATGTTCATTGCGTATTGCACCCCCTCCCCCCTTCAACAATCGCTCTTCAAATTTAATGCTATGTACTACGTAGCAGTGTAGTATCATTCATTCATTCACAAAACTTTATTTGTGTCCTGAAGCCCGGTCTTTTCAGACCGAGGCGGGCCGCGTCCACGTCGGTACCATCCGGCTGAGCCTTGTGGCGTCATCGTGGACCTTCTGGACTGCCCAGTGAATTATGAGTAATAGGCGTTTTAGTTGGGTGTACGCAACAATCCTACGTACGCATCATGATACGCTGAGTACACTGCAATAGAAGCACTCAACAACTCTCCTACTTTACCGTATGGACCGTACCTGGATGGGTTTCGTTCAACTAGACATATCATAGATGGGAAATGAAGCAGCTTCAGAGTGCTTCTTAGCGTCATCGTGTGGTAGCGACCGTGATAACGACCAGTGGCATCCAAATCAAACCGAATTGTTGGATCCATGGTTTTACGGGCTGGGCTATTTTACAATATGGCTGCTTTTAAATGCGAAGCATTTCTGAGCGAACTTAGGCGACTTGGAGCATATCTATCTATCTGTCTGTCTGTCTGTCTGTCTGTCTGTCTGTCTGTCTGTCTGTCTGTCTGTCTGTCTGTCTGTCTGTATCTACCACTTCTAGCTATCCTTGCCGTTACAGCAATGGTATCGATACCTATGGCATAACATGACTTCATGGCGAGCATAAGTGATTAGCGTTAGGAGCGGGGTCTGACAGCGTACCTGCTCTGCTGCCAGTCGTTGCGACTCGGGTCCGGCGGGTCTCGTCGTAGGTATCTGCCGCCGCCCCCGAACCCTTGTAGCCCATCTTGCAGGGAGGAAGGCTCATTCTTCGGGAAATATTTACAGGGGTTTATTTACACAGATTACATAGAGGAGAGTTACCTCTTGACAACTCGTGTCGGAAAAGCTCTACATTGAAAAGCCCTGCAAAAAAGCAGCCCGCGGGTGCTGATTATAAGCAGTCTCGTTTTTCGCAGATCCGTGGATCAGGGAAAGTGCACCAAATGGCACTGTCCAACCTTCGACGCGGCCTCCCATATCCGCCGACAGGAACGTTTTTGACTGGGAGGTTGAGTCCTCCTTGAGCGTACACGGCCGCTCGGGTCGACTCATCAAAAGGACCACTGCGACTCCGCCGTTCCTTCGAGGAAAGTTGTCGTGACCAAAACCCATTGGGGTCGATTACGATGCCGGACTGCATGGGGCCTTACTTCCCGTCTTGGAATAACAATGCCCGGGCTGGAACGGCTTTCCGCAAGTTAGCAGCCCTTCAGCCATTCGTTCGCAGTACCCTAAATTCTCCCCGTCTCAGCCGAAGCGCCGTACCCAACACTAGTCATAACATAAAAATCGTGTGCCATGAATGTTAAGATTTATATTTTAGGGCCTTGCTGCTCTTGTGGTGGTTTACTTACATGAATGGTATAGTATAACATGACTGCATGGCGAACATGAGTGACAGACCCTAATGTGGAAATCATGACATGCATGTCATGTAAGTCATGACTACACACCACGCTCATGATGCGCTCGCAGTCGTTTCGCTAGCTTCACGTATACCAAATTTGGTATTACGGGACGTGAATGAGTGACGAAGGTATATGACTGGTGCGAACATGATGATCATCAGATGCGTCTCATGTAAGAACATCACTACGTGCCATGCTCGTGATGCGCTCGCGGCCGTTTTGCTAGCTCCACATATAGCAAATTTGGTATCACATGGCATGAATAGACGACGA